AAGAAATCACAATGAAAAAATTTTAGTGCCCCCCAAACAACCAACCTTTGATATTATTAATTTTGTTTCATGAGGATTTTTTCTATTATCCATTTAAAATTAATTTTTTTTTGTACTTGCCAGAATTTCAAGTGAAAAAGAAAATCTCTTTCTTTCTCCAGTTTTAATTAAGCCATGCATTTCCCACAGATTTATTCAGAAGAGGAAAATGTAGAAAACACACAAATACACAGAATTAATAAGCAATATTGGAATACATATTGAAATAGAGGAGGCAAATTCATAGAAGAAAAACTTATTGAGGTTTTTTAAATAAAAAGACATGCCATCTGACCTTGGAAATCTGGCTGACTGCACACAAATCTTCATGGACATGAAAACTTTAATCTTAGGAGGTAAATACTGTTATCAGGGCTCACTCCAGTGCAATAATCAGCATAAATTTAGGTTGATTCTAGCAATGAAGCAAGAAGCCATGACTAATCTCTGATTAATTTGGCATATTTTACTTCTTCTGAAACTAGTTTGTTTTACCCATGGGTCTGCCATTGTTGTCTCCTAAAGTAATGTGTGCTCTCCTTTGGGAAGCTCTGGATGACAGTCATGGAAACTCATTGTTTCACAGGCCATATCTCTCTAAAAATGGAGCTATGATGGGTCAACTAGAAAGGCTAATTTATCTGAGTGGAACATCCTACTAACACAACTATATTGTTTCCATGTCCAGAATTAGCTTAGTTGAGACTAGACGAGTATCTCAGCCTTGGCAGCACATTGCAGAACGTAGATATTTCCCAGGAGACATATCCATAATCTATCTGCTTTGGAGACAGATGCTGTCAGCTGTCACAATAATATGTTATTGCTTTCCATATACAATCAAGAGCAACAGCAGTACTGTACAGATTTTCTGGCATTTCTCCTTCTTAGATTCAGAATGTATTTAAGGCTACAGTGTTGTTTTGGCTCAGTTGTTTTGTGGTGATGAGAGAAACTGTGGGATAATTTCAAAATGGGAGAGATTTCCAAAACTGAGGTGTTGAAATTTTTCCTGAAGAAAAACAGGAAATGAAGCTGTTTGAACTTCTCAAGCAGATTGTCCCATAGACAGATACCAGTGGCACACAGAAGTTTGTCCTAGGCTTTTACATGCCTTGTTTTGAGAACCACTGAATTGGCAGAGCCATGAGGATACAAATAGTCCTGTCCTGTAGTTGCTGGTGTCCAGTCAATGAGTTAGTCACTGTAGCATAGCGTGAAGGTGATAAATGCACAGATTATAGAGGTTTACCAAGAGAAAAAGACTACGGTCATCAGTAAGAATGAACTACCACAATGAATTCTGTATTATCCAAGACTGAGGAGTCAAATTATGCTGGAAGGCTTCATACCACCTTCATAATTAAGGCCTGTTAGGCTTTTCAGGGAGACAGTTTCTTGTTTGACTCTTTGGTTGTAGCATTTCAGCAGCATCCAGTTGGATTTCTGGGGACTCAACTTGCTTCCAGCCCTTCAGGCAAGAGCTATCTGACCTTAAGGAGGCATTATCCTCATTTGGTTACTCTGTTCTGCTTATATTCTTCCTATGGAAACTAAGAAGTACTCAATAACCTAAATGCCAGTTTTCAAAAATGCCCTGATTCTAACTGGGATGAAAAGTTTCCTGTGAAGCAGGGCTTCATTTTATGCTCTGCTACATCAGAAATCAAGACAGACTCAGGGAAACAGATATGTCATACCTGTGTTTGGACATGGGTGCCATAGATAAAGACTGACACACAGGCTGACTTCCCAGCTTCACCTTGGGCTGGCTGTCATCATGGACCTGTGTGGCAATCACAGGACTATGTCTGACTCTGGTTATTATTGCTAGACCTGATCTTAACATTGACTTCCTGGCCTAACCTTGGACTTGAATCATCAGCATCAATTTGCCTGACTATTTGGACTTTTGACTGAACCTTGGTGCCATGTCTGGATTTGCCTTGCTTTGGGCTGCTGTGAGGCAGGATCTTGGCCAGTGGGGTGGTAGCCCTGCTGACTGGTTTATCACTCTTGGTTATCATAGAACCACAGAATGGTTTGGGTTGGAAGGGACCTTAAAACTCATCTAGTTCCAGCCACGTACCACAGACAGGGACACCTTCCACCAGACCAGGTTGCTCAAAACCCCATCCAGCCTGATATTGAACACTGCCAGGGATGGGGCAGCCACAGCTTCTCTGGGCAACCTGTGCCAGGGCCTCACCACCCTCACAGAGAAGAGCTTCTTCCTAATATCTCATCTAAATCCACCCTCTTTTAGTTTAAAGCCATTCCCCCTTGTCCTATCTTTACAAGCCCTTGTCAAAAGCCCCTCTCCATCTTTTTTGTCCCCTTTAGGCACTGGAAGCTGCTCTATGTTCTCCCTAGAGCCTTCTCTTCTCCACGCTTAATAAGCCCAGCTCTCTCAGCCTGTCTCCATGGCAGAGAGACTCCAGCCACCTGATCATCTTTGTGCCCCCCTCTGGATTCACTCTAACAGGTCTATGTCCTTCTTATTTTGCGGGCCCCGAGGTGAATGCAGGACTGCAGGGTGGGCCTCACCAGAGCAGAGCAGGAGAGTATCCCTTCCTTTAACCTGCTGTTCATGCTGCTGGTGTGGCGGCCCAGGTTACGGCTGTCATTCTGGACTCTGTATTTGCTCTAACAGGTCATGTCCTTCCTATGTTGGGGGCCCCAGAGTTGGACATAGTTTCTGTATTTCTGCACCTCAGGGAGCAGCTGACCATCACTCCCTGACAAAGGCATTTTATAGCTCGTGCTGTTGCACGAGCTGTTGCTTGACAGCTGTCTACTAAAACCTGGAACAGCACCAACTCTTTGCAAAGAATGCCAAACCCCCACAAGGTGGTGAGCAATTTTTCATTACTTGAGAAGTGGCTTGATCAGCAGCCATCATAAACAGCTCATAGTACCAAAGCCCTAAGGTGACCAACCCCACCACAGGCAAAACCTCATCCGTGGGGAGAGAGAGATATCTTTACAAATGAAGGAAATAAGAATTGTGGCACTGGATAGCAGTGAGGACAAAATTGTGGAACAGTTTGAAGAAAAGCACGTATTCAGATGAGTAATTAGAACTTCCCCTATGAAGTACTTTTACCTATATACTTTAAAGTGATACTAATAAGCTTTTAAAGTTTAAGCCAAGCATTACTCTACCAGTAGATTAAAATAGAAGTTTAGTATATAGTATTCATTAACAGTTACTTTTTTCCCCCCTTTTTCTTCAGCCAGTAGACATTAACTAAATGAACCCAGTCTGATTAGGTTTGGGTATCCTTTTATATCCAGCAAATGAAAGAAGTGAGCTTGACAGGGGACTGTAATCCCTTTATTCCAATAAGCAGCTGTTTAGTTCTGTAACAAGATGAATGAAGCTTGAACTGCTTAACACTTGCTGGAAGAACAGTTTATGGTCTCTAACTTCATGGGTTTTTCCCTTCAAAGGCTGAGCTGATGATGGAGCTGAAGAATGTTTGCCAAATCATCTTGAATGACAGCAATAGAATTTTCCAGATTAAATCCCAAAACATTTCGAGTTTATAGTCAAAAGAGACATATCATCCTCCTGAAAGACAGTGAACCTGAGGAGCTTTTAGGTGTCATTTTTGAAAGTGCAAAGTAATAGAAATAGTCAGTGAAAGAGTTTACCTGTGTTTAGTGCTTTTTTTTTCTCACCCCAATTGATTTAATGATCTGGCTAGCAGCTTGGCTCAAGAAGAATTATAACAGCTCACTAAGGGAGCAAAAAGATAGAAGTGAAAAGTGAGTGAGCATGAAGCATCGTTGCTGCTGCCGCCGTATGGAATAGTGATTTCTGCTTATATATATATAACTATTACACTTCTGAAATACTGGTCACAGTGGAGGTTACTAAATACCCATAAGGTAACGAATCAGCTCCAAGAAAAGAAAAGATAGGCTGGGTTTTTTCCTTCTTCTTCCATTGTGCATCATAAATCAGGGTTTACATTCATTGCTGAAGAGCTTTGGGAAGACCTTTTTTTAAACAAACAAACCCCATTGCTAAGCCTGAATTATTAGGATTAGCTAATCTTGTCTGTAATTACTAAGATCTGAAGAAAAGTTATCCAAGAACTATTACTGTTAGAAAGAGCAAGCTAAGCCATCACTGTGCTTTAGCACATTCCCATCTGACTTGCTTCTGGGCAGTTTCTGGTGAGTATTCAGATCAGAAGTGATTTTTAAAATCGGTGTTGTCAATGATAAACTTTTAGAAATCATAAGAAGTCCTCCAAAAGGGAGGTTATGAACATAGATGCTTATTTACAAGTCTTTTCCTATATTCACTGGGATTATCTGGTTCCTTTGCATCAAGTATTTAGGACTCTTCATAATTAGTCAGGGCAGAAAAAATCTGGGGGGCTCACTGGGTTTTCTTTGTGAAGTGCCTTTCCAATAGCTCCACTGTGGAAGCTGGAGAAATAAGTGAAGTATGAACTTCTAGGATAATTATAGGATGTATAGGATATAGGAACTTAAGTGAAGGGTGTGAGTTGGAAGCACTGAATTGTGGAGTGTCATGAAATTAATGTGCTCTTCCATATTGGTAGGTAGCACAGAGTTATCAAAGAATTTATGTAACAAATCACTGACGTCTTTCTATAGTGTGCCAGCCAAGGAGAGTCAGAAAGCTTATTTGATCAGGTTTTTGGAGTTTGTAATGGAAATATAATAGCCATGAAAATTTAAGGAGACTTAGGGGCATTTTTCCATCCAGGATATTCATGCATTAACTTAATGCTGCTATTCTAGCCCCACAACCTTTTCTAGCCTGATGTACTCTTGTCCACTGCACCGTCTCTCCATTTGAAACACTCACAAATACAGTAATTAAGGTAGTCTCTTTGCTTACCCAGCTAACAGAACACGCATGCATACTTCCTATTTAAAACAGCAGCACTAAGTCATACGCTTCATAAGACAACTCCTTTAAAAATAGCAGTGTGTGTTTGGGAACACTGCCTGGCTGTTCCTGCCATAGGATACTCACTGCCATAGGATACTCAGTTGCATTTCCCTATTGTGTCAGCTTGAGGCTTTTGACCCTGAAGGTGGAGCCAGACTTTCAAATTCTTCACTGAAATCCCAGCTGCTGCAGGACCCTCATGGTGAGGGCTTTGGTCAATTTATTTTTAGGAAGACTGCTTTAAAGAGCCTAAGTTTGTTTTCCTTTGCCTGGGAGTAACTCAAGGTAAGTTCTAAGTAGGGGAAGCTGAAGATAATAAACCAGTCTGTGCAACAGCAGAACCAGGCATCATAATTACTTTCCAATACGAGTCAAATTCAGATTTTACCATTCCTGTTGATTTTAAACAGAGGGTGTTTCACAACTGTGGTGAAGAACAGCAGCATAAAATAAAACTATGAAGAAAATGGAGGTCACTTGGACAGAAAATCTGTGGAAAAGAGAAGGATTAAATATACATGACTACTGTAATCATGCAGGTGCTCAAAAGCAGTTTGTCTAACACATTATCAATAAATCAATGATTGTGTGCAATGACCTCCAGGGAGTGCTAAACAATGTTTTTGGTTAATTGTGTGTGACATGGCAGGTAAGCAAGCAGCTCTCTGCCACTTATCTGATGCCTTTTGTTTTGGGATACCTATGGTCATGGTTTCAAAACTGCATTGCATCAGTACGATGGAGTCTAAGCAGGCATTTGTACCCATAAGTTAAATGCATTCCCTGGCCGTGGGGAACAACCAGCTTAGGTCATTCCATGTCTATTGTATTGAACAAGGGGCCTGTAACCAGAAAGCCTGTTGGAAACAGATGCTGACCTGTTAATTCCTGACCTGTACAGGAGATGCTGGTTGGCTTAGGCCTCAGCTGTGCCCAGCAGCAAATTGTTCACTGACAAGAGAGAACATTATACTCCAGAAACTGTTCCTGGCATGCATTGATTTCTCAGTGTAGGAGAAAATAAAGCAGATAAGGATGCAGCACTTAAGGTCAGACTTTTGCATTGGCTTCACCAGGAGTAAAGTCAGGATGTTTTCATCTGAACATCAGGAAAGAGCTCAGAGACAAGTGATGAGTTCTCTGAGAAAATGAAGGAAAACAGGGAGCTGTCAGGATGGTTCAGGCTTGCAGCTCTGCCCCAGATGCTGCTTAAATTACCTTACAAGCAAACCACTGTGCAGCGCTTGGGGTGGAAATCTTGAGGGACCTTGAAGTCAATGGATTTTTTTTCCCCTCAACTAAATGCAAATCCTAGAAACAATCCAAGGAAATACTCTCCTGCCTTCCCTTGCCATAGTAGATTCGGACATCTGTCCCCAGGGATCCGCTGTGTTCTGAACCCAAGTGCTTAACTCAAGAGTTTCTGATGTATTTACTCCTACATTCTTTTAGCATTTTCTACTGGTCAGCAACTGGTACTTCCGGCTGTGGGAAGTTTGAATAATCTCAATGTCCCTGCACTTGTCCCAACCTTGCATCTATCCCGTTGTCACTAAATTTCGCTGTGTATCAGTAGACTGATCTTTGTAACTAAATAATCTTCCAAATTCTATGTATTATAACCCATGTGATACCTCTCTAGTTTCTTTCACAATTTCATAAAAATTCTTTGGCTGTAGATTAAAGCAGATTAAATCTGCATATTTATTTATACTTGTTGAACCACAAATCTTACTATCATTTTGGAATGATCAGTTTAAAAATCTAATCAAGCCTGATGTTTTCACAAGTCACTTCATGAAGATTCCTGGAAAGGTGCTTCTCAATCCAGTGGATTATTGAATTAATTGCCAGTAGTAATGCCATTGCTGTGTATAGTGGGAAAAGGAAAGAAAAACAGCTCACCAACTTGGAATCGAGACATTCCCCTGAGGATATTAATGTCACCAAGTCCATAAAGAGATTATATAGTTCAATAAAAATAGAAACAAAGTCAATGCCTTGTTTAAAAAGATAAAGAAGGTCAACCATAACCTGATCAGGGCAATTCAGGGAAAGAGAACACAAAGGGAATTATAACACATGCATCAAGAATGAACAAATACCCTTAAATGAGTAATTTATTCTCCTTTTCTGTTTGCAAATTGCCCTGGTCCAACAGTTATTCCTTTCCCTTCCTACCTCTCCCCCCTCCCTGAAATTGCTATCAAAACACTTCAGGAAGTAGCCCATGCTCTCTAGCCTGCTCACAGGCTTTTCACTGCCAGAATACAATACATGACATTGAAGAATGAGCTTGTTTGAACAGGTTGTGTTAGGTTTCTATGTCCTCCTTGAAAGCGTGCAACTCTTCAGATGAGTTATCTTTGTACTGGGAAGAACCATGTTTACAAATCTGAAAGGAGCAATTATCAGTAAATGGTTTCTTCAGGGCAATGAGCCTTTATGCTCCTAAGAGCTAGGCTTAATTGAAGAACAAGCAGTTGTTTTGTCCTCCAAGCTACTGGAGCCTGCCAAAGTGGGAGAGGTTTTATTCTGTGATGTTCTGTGTCAGTTCTTGTCTGTCAGCTCTGTTTACTTGGCTAACACTAATCATGTGGAGCTTCTTTTGTCAGGATTGTTTCGCAATATTCATTGAAAATAAACTGTTCCAACCCTTCTTACAGTTAGTAACAATGCTATGGACATCAGCAGGGGGAAAATATATACCTGTTCTGGCAGCTGTGGGTAATTCCTCTCTCCACGACAGTACTGGGTTACAAAGACCCCAGAGATTGTGAGTAGAGTGATGTTTTATTGGTGGCCTCCACACTTGCTGTAGCATCCATAGGATAAATAGCAACTACTGAAAGGAATCCCATGAGTGCTGAGCTGTTCTGGGTGAAGGATTTGAAATAGCAGTGGCTACAAGCTCTTGACAACAGACATGGGATTTTGCTCTGGTGTAGCAAATCCTTCCCCTGCCCTGCAAGCTTTTGTGGACAGTAGATGCTTGCTCACTGCACAGCTCCCATGAGCAGATGCAGGTTCCCTCCTGATGTGGTTTTCCTCACATTCATAAAGGCAGAAATGCTATTCAGTTTACAGGGCTGACAATTCTTGGCCTTGCTGGAACCTCCAGAGTAACTGGTAATGAAACCTGACCATTATTCATGCAGTATTATTGCAGCATGTCTTCTGACAAATTTCTCCCTTGGGTACTGACAGGGTCCTAGAGTGATAATGTTGACAAAGGCAGCTAGTTCATATGCAGCTGCCTGTGGCAGTCTGATTCTGCTTCGTCCCAGAGAGCTTTCTTATAGTGGGAATCTGTGTATGTAACTAGGATGTTGTTTTCTGTGTATTGAGTCTTCATATTTTTAAGAACTGTGACTGACTGGGAGAAGACTTGTCATTTCTCTAGTACTACAAGCCTGTTCAGGCACACACATCCCCACACAATGCTCTCTCCTGGGCAATGGTACAGGTGTTCGTTTATTTCTGATAATTGTTTTATTTTTGTATTCAGCTAACATGAAAACTGGGTGGTTGAAAACAAACAGGAAGCTGAAGCAGAGAGTGTCTAGAGGACAGTGAATGGATTGGAGAAAACCATTTGTATTAAAGAGCTCTTAGGTGGTCACTAAAGGAGCTCACTAAAGACTAAATCTCACGCTCGGCACCAGCACCTCACAGTAAGACAGGAGTCTGACTGCAAGTTTTTGGTCTAAATCTGCTAGGAGACAGATCTGAATTGCAGTCCCAAAACTTCTGGAATAAACAGTGAACTACTGCTCCTTAAGTCATACCCTTCCTTGACCAGACATGACATCTCTGTTGAAATGCTATGCTCATTTCCATTAAAAGCTGACAGCTTTGAAAGGCGGAGGGGGGAGGGAGGGAATTGCCAGGAATTTCTTGATCAAACCTTCTTAGGATCCCATTGGCCTTATCATTATAGTCTCTTCTGTAGGTCCTTTCTCAATCTAATTTATTTGCTGGTGTTAGTTAACAAATGAGAAGGGCTCTGATAAGATTTGGTCCCATATGTAAGCATTAGCAAAGCTGCAGCACAAACCAGAGTTCTGCAAATAGATATGTAAATGTATCATAAATCGCTTGTTTCCTGCAGTCAAGAGGTAATTTACATACACAATCCATCACTGTCTCCTCACTGAACTTTCTATTGACAGGTTAACAAAACTTCTGGGACACCGTGATATCCAGGATGAAGACAGTAATATGTATTCAGGAGGGTGACGGTATTTGGGATGGCACTAGTGCAGAGAGGTATGTGGTGTTATGCCAGGGTACTGGGATCTACCAAAGAACCCAAAAGGATTTACTCAGCCATAACAAACATACACAAGAGCACATATGAAAAAAAATCTAATCAAAGAGAAGTTACAGTTCCTGGTCATCTAACTACTGTGTGAGCACCCAGTGGCCTATAATGTGAAAGGATATAATCTAGTGTTTAAATCTGGGGGATTTTATGTTTATCAAATTGCAGTGTTTCTGTCAGTGCTCAAAGATAAGAAAACTTATAACTATCCTCCATAACCCAGTACTGACATCTGACAACAAGGCTTACAATGAGGCCCCCATATCAATGCAGCTCAGCACCCTGTGTACTCATTCACCAGGTGCAGAGCTGCAGAGACAGTCCGCCTCACATGCTCCAACTCACGCTGAGCGGGAGTGATTGTACAGATCTGTAGGTTCTCCATCCCTCTCAGGGTTGTTTTCTTCCCTGTTCATCATCTTAAAAAGTGGGTGTGGGAGACAGCTGGTTCAAATTCCACACCCACCCACAACAGTAGTATCTTTCTGCCTGAGTATCAATAGTTGACAAGCCTAAATTGTGAAGTGCTGCAGGAATAGTGAAAAAGTTGAGACTGCTATGCTGAGAAAACCTTTATTCCCTTGTAGGAATGATGCATTAGCCAAAGGTTAGAACTGCTTTATTTCAGGGTGCATACAGCTATGGATGTGACTGTCTTTAATGTAGATCAGACTATTTTAAGGCATACCAAAAAAACATAGAATGAATTATAGAATGGTTTGAGTTGGAAGGGACCTTAAAGATCATCTAGTTCCATCCCCTACCATGGGCTGTAGATGGATACATTAGATAGACACAGTAGATTTGTTAACACGAAGAATCTCTAAACAGCAAAACAAGACTGAACATGAATCCTTTTTCTTTTCAGTCATTTAAACTATGAATATTCAAGAGATGTTCAGCAAATATTTTCTCCTGGTTTTAAATAAGCCTTTTCTTATCCTGATATTCCTACCATGTTTGCTTTTCGCAACAGTCCAGAGGAAGAATATATTTGTCAAATCACATCTGTGAGTGATTCTTGGTCTGTAATTTCTTTACAAGCATTTGTTACATAGGATTGAACATAAGGATTCAAACTTCAGGATGTGTTGTGTAGCTGCTGTGCATTTTGGTTCCTCTCATAGGGAACAGAGCTATGAGAATTGCATTTCCTCAGGGAATAATTCTGTTTACAAATTTCAAATATACTCTGCAAATACACTTCACTACTAACCTAAATTGTTTTGTTCCCACAAGCACAGCAAACGATTTAATCTTTCTCTTTGACATTGGACTGTCCAATTAGCCCCTCCTTTTTCACAGCTACAATGCGTTACTTCACCACTTTCTTGTAGGGTCTAGTTACAGGAGCAAGAAATAATTTATTACCTGGCATCTTCCCTAAGAGACAGACTATAGGAAATATTTCAGGTCAGGAACTCAGATTGTTCAGGTTAAGGTCAATCAAATTCCAATTTATCTCACAAGGAAAACTTGCCACAGACTTAGTGAAAGCTAGGTTTCCCACTTCCAGGCACTCCATGCTTCAAACAAGGCCTCACCACAGCTTATTTTTCCTTATGTACACAACTGTCACTATGGCCAGTATTTAAATCAGTTCCACTTGGCAAAAATAACTAGATCTGGACTGAAAACAAACCCATTGCCTGCTAAAAGGCATTGAGAGATTTCTCTGCTCACTGGCAGAATGATCAGCAAGATCCTTTTGAAGATTTCAATTTGTTAATGGTACTAGGGCAGGCACAGGAACTGACATAAATCTCAACTTTTTCCAAAGTTTGTGAACAGCAGGCAAGAGAATGGACTAAGGAAGAGGGTCCCTCAACTAGATGATAGAGAGAAGACAATATATTTTGGGTGTTAAAATTTAACTGTCAACATTTATTACCAAAGAAACAGTTTAATGGGATACTGAATTGACAATGATCTTTCCTGGAGCAGAAGACTGGAGAAGAAAACCCAAAATACATTTTCTGCCCATGATATGAAATTGTTTCTTGTTACAACCCTGCCAAGAAACCAGGACTACTAGACCAGGTACTGGCTGTTCCCATCCGGGAAGACAGCCTGCACTCCATTCTCCACTAGAAAGGGTCGTTCTTTGCTTGGACTACATTCATGGGATACACTTCTGAAAGGCTGAAGGAACTGAGCCAAATATCCTCTCCATGTCCCCACCTCAGATGGATAGAGCTGTGGTACACGGCTGATGTGCCTGAGATTTGGTTCTAGAGTGGAAGCTTGGGGATGGAAAAGAAGATGATTTTCTGTAAGACGCATCAAAAGGACAAGTCTGGGCACTGTTGTCTTGTCTTCATCTTTCTTTATTGTCTGACATTGATTTATCTATACCCAGAATAAAGTAGGAAATATTCATCAGCATCAGGACCAACATGAATTCCTGAAAAACTCTACAAATATCCTGTAAATAATAGTGATTCTTTACTGACAGACAATTCTAAGTTCAGATGTCAGACACACAATAGAGCTGACTTAAAAAGTGACAGTGAGTGGGATTCACAAGGCCAGATACCAAATGATGACCACAGTGCCACATTTGAGCTTTTGCCTATATTCTCTGTGTAGATAATGGGAAGGAATAGGTGCTTTCTGGGTATTTTTCATCTTACCCTAACCAGACTTTTAAAACATAAAAGGTGACTTGTGCCCTAAAATTTCCTATTTCTTTGCCTTGACAAATAAAGCACCAGGTAATGTGCTTATCTGTAGATATCTACAACCTTTCCCGTTTTAGCTGTGTGGTAATGGTGCATACTTAGAGCCCGCAGAAAGTAGGAAGTAATTTATTTAGGTGCACAGCTGTCAATGGAGGGAATCTGGAATAATTTATATATTGCCTGCTGTTTGCCCTGGGATAAGAACAAATGCACAAACATCTCACCAGTTTTGATAACATATTAGGCCTTGGAAACTTGAATGCATTTTTAAGTCTTTAGGGTAGTTATCAGAAAGGAATATGAACAAAGATGATGTGTTATGTATTCTCTTCAACAAGACTCACACCTCTATACAAGCTGTGTGGAGGGAAAGACAACAGAAGTGCTAGCCAGCAAGATAAATGAACACATTTGCAGCTGATTTTTCTTGTCCAAAATCACACCAACTGAAGAACACATATAGCCTTTCTCCAGAAAAAAAATAACATCCCTCCCCAATAATTAATGACTAAGGGTGTACTGAAGATAAAAAAAATAGTCATAGCAACAGCTATGTGGGCTGTTATCTTAGTGTCAGAAGAAGGACTTGGGGGTGTTGCTTGATGAGAAGCTCATCATGACACAGCAGTGTGTGCTCCTGGGCTGCATCACCAACAGCATGACCAGCAGGATGAGGGAGGGCGTTCTCCACATCTTCTCTGCTCTCATGAGACCCCCACCTGAAGTTCTGCATCCAGCTCTGGGCCCCCAACATAAGAAGGGCATGGAGCTGTTGGAGCAAGTTGAGAGGAGGCTATGGAGATGCTTTGAGGTCTGCAGAACCTCTGCTATGGAGACAGGCTGAGAGAGCTGGGTTTATTAAGCCTGGAGAAGAGAAGGCTCTGGGGAGAACATAGAGCAGCCTTCTAATACCTAAACTGGACTACAAGAAAGCTGGAGAAGGACTTTTTACAAGGGCAGATAGTGATAGGGGATAGATTTAAACTGGCAGGAGATTTAGATTAGGTTTTAGGAAGAAGTTCTTTCCTGTGAGGGTGGTTAAGCACTGGCACAGGTTGCCCAGAGAAGCTGCGGCTGTCCCATCCCTGGCAGTGTTCAAGACCAGGTTGGATGGGCCTTTGAGCAACCTGGTCTAGTGGAAGGTGTCCCTGCCTGTGGCAGGAGGTTGGAACTGGATGAGTTTTAAGGTCCCTTCCAACCCACACCATTCTGTGATTTATGATTCTCTGATTTTATAACTGTAGAGTGAAGACGTAACTATGGTCAGAGAAAATTGTAACATTTCATGATCATCTGTTGCCTTAAGTCTCTCCTTGGTTTCAAGAAGCCTCCACTGCCTCCAGTCTAACCTCGTGCTTGAAGAAGGATTACTAAAAAACACTAGATCAACTCAGATGTGATTTTGTCTAAGACGAGTCTTGGGTGATGAGTCAAGGGTGGATATCTCACAACTTCTTTGGGCAACCTATTCCACCGCTACCCTTCCCTGATAATGGAAATGTCATACTCAGTATCCAGCCCAGAATGCTCAAGATGCAGTCTGTGGTTGTTGCCCTTTGTTATCTCCATTGCCAGTGCTGAGATGAGTTTGACTCCCATATCTCCACGTCTCAATTTCAGTGAGATCTCTCCTATTTTTTATATTTTTTTTTGCTGCAAGCCACAGTGTTACAGTATTTCAAGTTCATTTCATACTCCTCCATCAAGGATATCTGGCAGACTGTGATGTTGCTGAAGGGGGTGATCCTGTGCTGACAGCAAGGCTACAGATGGGGATGAAGCTAATGAATCTCATCACACCCCACACTCCATCTCTAGTACTGGTGTTTAGCGAACTGCTGCATGTGAAAGGAAGAAAAGAGACATTCCTTAACAACCTTCTGAATGCTGGCATCCTTGCTGCAGTGTTAGGTTTCCTTCAAGTCTGACTTTTCTGCTTGGCACAGAGAATATGTTAAACAGAAAGAACTTATACATAAGTTTTAATGTACATTAGCATGATCTTCTCTTTCTGATCAACCAAGTTTCAGCTGCATTTGGCATTGGTGTTCTAATAAAAGGACCCATTTTTACTGGCAGACCACCTCACGTGGAATGACCACAGATTTCCAGTGCATACTTCCCAGGCCTGGTCTCACATCTGTTGAACGAGCATGACTGGTAAGACAGTTTGAACTGAAACCCATAGCACTATTTAATCTGGCTCTTTTGATCAGCAAGAATGACTCCATGATCCAGGTGTTCCTGCTCCTTCCTTCCCAGGA